TCGTTCCGTGCGCGCGGGGGGGGAGGGAGGGGCGGGGGGCGGGGTGTGGTGCGGGGGGGGGGGGTGGGGGGTGGGGGTGGGGGGGGGGGGGGGGGGGGGGGGGGGGGGGGGGTGTGTGTGTGATGAATGAAAGGGGAGGATATATGGTTGTGCTGTTAATTTTCGGAATACTGTTGTTCTGAAATTGGGAATTTCAATCGTTACTTTCACATCGAGATACTCAATTGTTTTTCTCCCCTGCCATGCTATACTTATGTTAGGATCTTTTTTGTTCAGTTCAGCAAAAGTTTGTTCCATCTATTCTGAGGGTAGCTTGGTGGTTACGAATAGGTCGTCCTGAAAGCGGAAATACAGTTCTCCTTGTTGGTGCTGCTGTTTCACAAAGGTGCTTTCCCACTTTTCGCACATAGATGTCTGCCAATACTTGAGTACATGTCGATCCCATTGCACCTCCACAAACTTATCTATAGAATTTCGGTTTTAGTCCCGGGTGTTCTAGTACAAAATAGGAATTCTCTAAGACGTTGAGAAACATGGATTTGACCGTATTTATCGATAGTCCTCATATTTTCTTATAGCCATTCCTACCTAGGGATTCACAGACGACTAGCACTGCTTCTTTCTGGGGGATCATGGTGTATAAGTCAGTGATATCAAATGTGTACATATTTGTTTTGGGTGTTGTTTGGAAATCTTTCAAATGCTTGAGGAAAGTTATCTAGTTGGAGAGTGAGTATGGTGGACGTTTATCAAACAGAGGGCGGATGCTTTTATCTAAAAATGCAGATAGCTCGCATAGTGGCGATTTCATGCCACTGACTATAGATCTGAGCGGTTCCTCAATCTTATGATCTTTTGGATTGTAGTATAAATGAGGCAATTCTGAATCGGTGAATGATGATCTTAATTTTTCCATCATAGCTTGAGGCATCTGCTTATTTGAAACTAAATTACGTAGAAATTTGTCGGTGTTTTTTTATCATATCTTCTAATGGTGAGCTGGCTATTTCTACTTAAGCATTGGTTTTCTTCATGTATATCGTTGATTTCTTTAAATAGTTATCACGAGTGTCGGCATGGAATACCTTAGATTTGTCCGTTTCTCTAAATATGATATTCTTTTGTTTTTGAACTTTTTGAAAAAAACGTATAACCGGTTCTATTGTTGGATCTCTTGATATTTCTGTTGTGACAATTTTTTTAATTTCTTCTTCTATGCGTTCGTAAAATTTCTTTACTATGGGCGGTTCTCGTCCTATGGTTTTTGTCGTTATTCTCCATGCGGCTGAAATTTTCTCTTTCATTTGATCTATTTATTTCGGAAGGCGTTCTAGAACTTGTTTTGGTGCTGGTGGTACGATCTTCGGTCCTAGGTTGAGTACTCTTTGTTCTGTTTCTTCTAATATAAAAGCTTTATTGTTTGCTTGAGGCGGGAAACTTATCTTAGTGTAATGTGGATGTAATTTTGCTTTTGAGAAACCTGGATGATGTCGAATTAGGGCGTGCACTAGTTGGTGCTGGATGCGCACGCCCTTTTTGCTAAAAAATTCAGTTTCTTTCTTGAAAATTGGTTGTCTTATTTGTGCTACGTGAGTTAAAGTTTTATATGATTCTTGTAAGTAAGTTGATAGATTTTTTGTCATTTCTTCATATTCTTTTCTAGCTTGCTCTAATTCTACTACTTTTGCTCGTCTCATTAAAGTTGTTAGATCTAATTTCGTTTTCCTTAATATATTTTTCCATTGTTCTCAAAGGGAATTCAAACACGGGTTTTCCGGTTTAAGTCCTTTTGCATGTAGTTCTAATTTACCGAAAATATTGAGAGATGGTGGTGGCATATTTTCTACAAATCTCCTTTCTAATTTATCTGATTCTCATTTAAGATCTACTGTTCTCATAAACTTTTCAGATAAAGTCTGTATATATTGTTGTTCTGTTAATGTTGCTCTATGTTTAATTTGTTGTGTAGCTTTTTCTCATTTGATCTAGTAAAAGATTGTCTAATCTTCGTTGATCACTATTCTTTTTATTTTTAAGTGCTTTTTCAATAATACTTTTTACTAAAGTAACTATTTTTGTCCATAAGTGTCGAGAAAATGATGCATGCAATTTTTGGGTGTGGGTTGGTGGGTGTGGTTGTAATTGATGCAAGGACGCGCACACTCCCACTCCCACACCCGCATCCACACCCTGTCGTTTATTTTTTCACAAACATACATACCCACTCGCAACCATATCCACACTTCATTTGTTTCTGCAAATCGAGGTTATTCAGACAGTTATTTTGTTGCTCTTATTGGATCTCGAATTCATTTTTTTTTGTTATTTTGTTTCATAATAATTCTTTATTAAATAAAAAATTATTCAGAAGACACAAAAAAGATAACCATATTAAATACGAGAAAAAAGTTAGTTCGAGAGCTAAAAATAATTACCAAGTTTGAACAGCTCTTAGACAACTATCATACTTTGTTGTATTTCGATTTCCCCACCATTGTGGAAAAAAGACATTTTTATTTTTTAAAGCTGTACCAACAATCATCAGTGTTATATTGAGACCAAGATCAAGTCCAGCTGAAACTAAATAAACATGACGTTGTCTCCAACTATATTTTCCAAATGCAAAATAAACTGATAAACCAATAAAAAGCCACGTGAATAAAGCACCTGCTGGAACAATTGTTGGCATCCAACCAATAGTTACAAATATTAATGGCCAATGTAATTTATGCAACCAATGGAAACGTTTAAATCTTGATAAAATCCATCCAGGTATTGGTATGAATGCACCAACTAAAAAAGCCCATAAAAAATCTCTATTAGCTAAATTAATCCCATTAAAAAATTCATTATAATCATGTAAAAGTGTCCAACCAAGTTTGGTATTGTTAAATATAGACAAATAATCAGTTACATAACTTTTTTTACGATACATAGAACGAATTCCAATTGAAAATGTTGAACAAACTAAACCAGCAAGACATTGAGCAAGAAATAATGAACGTGAACTTATTTTAATATAATGAGCTAATTTCATATCTTGAAGTAGAGCTAGTGTTTGAACAAAAACGACATAACTAAGTGCTATAAATGTAAACATATTTCTTGCCGATGTTTGTAATGACAATAATTGTCCAATCAGTAAACATAAATAGTAAACAGATAAATTATGTAACAATTGTCCTGTGATTGAGGAAACTAATCCAAATGGTAAGACAAATATAGTTCCAATAGATAAAGATAATAATACATAATACCAATTTAGCCATCCAGCATGATCACATGTAACACAAGCAACAATTAATGCTGATGCAAATAATTCTAAATACCACCAATCTGGAACTGTTTTATAAAGTGACATCATACGAGCATGCATATCATTTCCCATATGTTTTAAACTTTTTGTGCGAAATTGTTGCCATATATCAACGCCATGAAATAATAATGTATGAATAAAAACAGCTGTTATACTTGCAAATGATGTAAATGCTGTGACTAAACTGAATGCTGTAAATTCCGTTATTACAACTCCACCTATAGGTAAATTAGTAAAACCTCTTACATTTGATCCATATACAATTGGAACAATAAGCCATATTATTAATACAAAGCCAAATGCTATATTAATTAATGCCCAACCTGGTAATATTAATGGTGAACCAATATATTGTGTTACTGCGTGCCAATCTAATGTTAAACCTCCACCAGCTATAGCAAGACCATGTACTGCTGTTAATTGTGCTAAAACATTATTTGATGGATTTATCCAACACATCCATGAAAAATAGGCTAAAATTGGCATTATATATAATGGAAGCCATTCATATATGAAAGCTATTATTGATATAAGAAAAAAAAATAATAAGCGATTATTCATAAGACTTTGTTTTAAACTTTGAGTTTGAACTCCATAAGATGTTGCTGTTAGACTTGATTGATCATCATGAAATGTACGCAATAAAGCTATTAATGGCAAATTTTGAGGCCAAATTATTTCACATGGCCAAACCAAAAATCGACGAAGAATACCTTAATGAGTTTATTTATAAAAAAAAATAAACAAAGACAAATTAATATACCTGCAAGACCAAACCCAAGAAATTGCATTGAAAGAACAAAAAAGAAATAATATGCAAAATTGAGATTTTCTCTTTCAAGTATTTTTAATGTTGTTAAATTTGCATACATTAATACGGAATTATACATATTAGCAACATTAGCCATAACTAAAATATATCCATGCTCTTTCAATGTAAATGATTTTGATTTTGGTACAATTACACTCCATAAATATCCTAATGGATATGCAACAACAATAACTAGAACTGACGAAATAAAAGGAGCCACTTGTTGTAAGTTTCCCCATTCATGCAGAAATGACATTCCAATAACAAATATTAAGCCAATAGTAGCACTTCTTATTGTACAACATTGTTCATTAATATTATCTTTATTGGAACATGTTCCAGCTACTTCTTCAAATTGAGCCATTTCAGCATCAACATATGCGAAACATGTTTCTTCTTGTTTTCTATCAGATTTCTCCATTTCTACTTGATTTTTGTCTAAAATATCTTTAAATAAAACAAATAAGGACATACATTATTTAAGTTTAAAGATGAGACATTAATTCATTTGAAAAATAAAACAGAATTTAGTTTCAAATATATTTCATGGAAATAAATATGAATTTTATTTACATGTAATCGAATAAGGGAAAAGAACAAAGCTTAATTTATCATTTATTTGGTTTGCTATGCTCATACTAACTATTGAAAAAAAACCAGAAGTCACCTGATGAAAAACATATGTCGAAAAGAGTAAATATATAAAATAATTGATGTCATATATTACTATTCATGTTCTTCATGCAAAAAACACTTTTCTTTAACCATATGCCATACTAATGGTTAACAAACAAATAAAATAGGTGAATGCCTTTTTTTCTGATATGATCTGCTTGATAAATATATGCATGACCTGCTATCATAACCATCACATTGAAAATATATTACGTTCGTTCTTTTTCTTAGTCAATCAGATTAATTTAAATACTTACGGGTGTGAAGAGTTATCACGATACAGATTTTTTGTATTTCGATGTTTCGAGAATTTTATCAAGTGGCAAGTATCTGTACAAATGATTCATTCTGTAGAAGAAGAATCTGGATATATGTGCTTAAGCCATTATGCAATGGATTGAAACGGTCGGTGGTGTTTGTAGGGAATATAGATTTTGTATGTAGTTTGAGGTTGCGTTTTAAATAGCAATAGCATGTCCATATTCCAGATTTACTTTTTTTTCGATATATGCGGAAATATGTGGTCGGTATCTGGGAAGGGATATATAGTGTAGTTGCGATCGTTGAGCATTGTTTGGAAGATGTTTTCTTTTCGTGGGGTGATACTATTTTGGACAAGTTCGTGGATACAATCAAACGAATGAGATGAAGAAACCTCGTGTAATGTATCGTTGCCTTCTTTTATTGTTCCAGTGGATTTTTGAGGTTTGTTTTTTATGATCTATGTTTCAAATATTCGATTATCTATCGTTAAGTCATCATCAACGTTAAGTTTTGAGAGGAAAGGGAGATGTTGAAGAAAATCGGACGGTTTTTTTGTTTCAGACGTCTGAATGATAATAAAAAGTTCTACATATCAAAGGTAAATATTGAGATATTCGAACGAAACATAGTAAATAGGTTTGTCTGGAAGTTTGTTAACTGGAGTTTTGCCCGGTGTTTGTAGTGACCAATGTTGGATGATTCAGATCAGCATAAAGTAAGAGAGGCTCTTTAGGGTTTATGTTCAGAGTGAATACCCATTGTGCCAGATCTAATTGCTGTTGGTAATTGAACATGATAACGCAATTGATAGGCTTGGATGAACGAATTGTGAAAATGCCTTCAGCGATTATAAAGAGGAGTAGCTTTCGGTGTGATGTGGGGTGGGTGGGTGTGGTTGCTTCTGATGATTGAAAAACGTCCACACCCACACACACCCACACTCTGTTTTTCAATCATCAGAAGCAACCACACCCACCCAGACCCTGTTCGACAAATTTTTATAAATTTCGACAATTTTCACAAAATGTTTCGGAAACTTGCGAAAAATTCGTCGCCAGCTCGTCTGCTCCCCCTCCCCCTCAACTTTTTCCTCTTCGGAACATCACTGTATTTACGTTTTTACTTGACTCAAACTTTTATTGTTGCGATAAATTGGAAAATTCATCCGTTGATCAATTTGCTGCTCGATATATAGAACAAATTGAAAAGTTGACGTGGCAAAATTCATCACTACGAGAATTATTTCGTCAACGCGCATCAACATGTTTCTAATGAACACTGTTGACTGACAGTTTATTTATGCAATTCGATTCATTATCTATGATCACTGGCCCCTACAACTTCAAAGAGAGGAGGTCTTCATGAAGCAAAAGTTTTTAATTAATAAAAGCAGATCTTTTAATATATTCTATTCTGTATACCAAGTGACTGAGCTAGCTGAAACTCATCCATGCTTTATGTCCTCAGAAAGATGACAGTATAGAATATTTTCATGAAAAATACTTCACTCATTCGCTCATATATTCATCCATTCTAAATGTAGAATTAAACTGTTTCATTTCTCTATCGAATGGTGTATGAACATATGATAAAAGATTATTTCTTGTCTTTTCTTATATAAAGATTTGATTTATGTCGCATACCACTAAAAGACTTGTATGACAAATCTCACTTGTTGTTCTTCTTTAATGGTTGCAGCCTATTTCGGATTGCAAAGCAATCGGTAGACCTGTACAAGATCTGCTCAATCATAACTTTCTCTTTACTGAGTTAATGAAGTCGACAAACTAACTAGTTCATTCTGTAATACTCTTCGAACTCTACTTGAATTCATTAATGCAAAATATTGACTCCGCCTAGGAACGAATCCTTCGAAGATCATTATCTCCTATGAAAAACTCATATTTCACGTTCACTTATTCTCTGTTTCAAGTCAGTAGTCTATAGAGAACTAAATAAATCACTAGTAGTCTATCGATTATTTGAACACATTGACCAAACAACCATGTCAATAAAATTTCGTTTAGATTTTGACTGTAGAAATACCAGCATGACTACAAGATTATTGAGAATGAAGTTTCTTCTAACTTATAGATGAGCATTAACTCTAATCTCAATGACAAAAAAATGCTTTGAAACGTTTATTGATGTTGCTGAAGGCGTCGAAAAAGTTCTCTTGATAGGTTCAGTTCGGAATGATAGTGTGGCAATTTGATCAACTGAATATTTAAAGATTTTCGAACATAGTCAAGTGCAATTTCATATTCAGCACGATCGTAATGTATGAGACCAAGTTGATAATAAGTAGAAGCAAGCAATGGATGATTTTTACCAAGTGATGAATATCGTATGTGCAATGTTTCTTGAAAATGGATCAATGCTTTCTTATCGTCACCAAGAGCACGATACACTAAACTCATTGTATGCAAAGTGAAGGCGTATCCTTGGTGATCAACAGACATTTTTGTTTGGAAAAACTTTTCAGCACTATCGAGAATTGAAAGTGCAAGGCAATATTGTTTGACCATGAAATAAGCATGAGCTAGACGATTCAAATGAAATGGAATTTCTGTATGATTTTTCGGGAGTGATTTCTTTTGAAGCATTAAAACCTGTGTAAGTAATTTTAATGCTCGTTCAGAATCTTCCAAGTGTGAATAGATAGTACCCATTCCACCCAAAATACGACAATAATCAAACATTCTATCTGGTAACAGACGATGAACGAGTAATCGAGCACATCGAAAACAATTGAGAGATTCGTCGAATTTCTCAATAAATCGATAGATGCGCCCTAAATAATAATAAATATTACGTCGTTCCACATGATCGATAGGTAATGTTCTTAGTAAACAATGGAAATAACTCATCGCTTGACCAAAATCACTATCAGTATCAGCTAAAGCATGGCCGAACATGATAGTGGGATTGATGTATTAAAGGCGTTTACGAGTGTATTTCTCCTGTGCATCATTGATTCGAGCATTGTCCGAAGAAGAGTTCATTTGAATCAACCATATACATTTATCATTATCAAAACATATTTCATTAATAATAAAGGTCGATCCGAAGTTAAAAATCATTTCGTTTTCATCGGGTATATCGCTTTGATGACTAACATCTGCTACAACTGTATTTGTCGATGTTCTACGATCGACATCGATGATAAATAATACGAGCTGTTGCCATGCATCTCGATTGTGACTTCACAATAGAGAGTAGCGGGTCCGTCCAGACCCGGACCCAGACTCGGGTCCAGAAAGTTAATACCACCCGGGTGTGGGTCTAGAAATTTGATATCACTCGGGTCCGAGTCCATATGTGATCTATTTTCAGACCCGGTTTGCATTCAACTGCGAATCTAAGTACTGGAGAGTTCAGATCAACGTATAATATTTTCTGTATTCTGTTTCAAAATTTCTTGGCTATTTTTAATTTTGTAATTAAAAAGTCATTTTAAATACAAATAACAAATGAAGTTGAAAAAAACAAGAAAAATGAAAAAAAAGTAGACGAATATTAATAAGTTACTGTTGGTTTGAGAATTTTCAATGATCAGTTTTGATTATCAATTAATTCTTTAATTTCCTTTTCGGTTAGCATAATGTTTTTTTTTCAGTTAAGCAATAAAATCTTAATTGTTAAGCATCCCGTTGCATGATGAACAAGTGAACAACAGGAAATACCTGTACATAAACTTTTCCTCTGAGAATAGCCAATAATTAGTTAAAACCATGAGTCTTCACTTGTTCATATATACAGACGGTGCTAGATATTGACGAAACACTTAACGGGTCTGGACCCGGTCGGCTCCGGGTCCGTATATGTCAAGCCCGGGTCTGGGTCTGGGTCTAGAAAATTAATGCCACCCGAGTTCGGGTCTGGGAATTTGATATCACCCGGGTCTGGATCCGGGACCGGGTCCATAAAAACATGGACCCGCTACTCTCTAATCCACACCCACACCCGCACCCCACTCCCACACCCAACTTTCAAATTAAAACATTTCATTGTTTAGCGTTTTTAATGTTTTATAGAACAAATGTTAATGATATAGGTGGTCTAGTATAAGTAGCATTCTGAAGTTTTTCCTAACTTTTCTCCATTGATATATATTCATTATATAGATAATTTTAGCGAGGAACCTATGTATAGGTGTAAGATTTATTTCTTATTCATTCCACCCTCTTTCATGGACTTAAATCGTACCAGATGAGCCAACATGGCATATTACCTGGTAGACCAGTATGTCATTTTAGGCCAAAGTTATTGGGCTGACTGTCACGTTTTGAAAATCAAATGTCGATAGATTGTCTCATTTATACAAATACAGAACTCGTTTATATCCAAAATAATTGGATAATATGCTTTGTATTTGTATTGTTGGGAAACTGGATAGTCAAATGTAAATGCACTTCTCTATTACTATTAGTATCTATTATTTCCTGTATATTTCATATGTGTTTCCTTTTATTTCTTCGTTATATGCGTGATCATAGGTTACTTTTGCTATCGTAATTATGTTTTTTTTTGGATTATGTGAAACAGTATTGATATAATCACAAACAATTCAACAATTCAAGTCTTTATTTTATGAAAAATATTTATCATCATTTTCTTTTTGTTTTGATTTATGATATTGTACAGGAACTTCTCTTTCTATCATCTTTATGGGAATAAATCCAACAACTTTTCGTTGAACAATGCATTCATGTAAAGTTATATGTAGAATTTAATAGGATTGAGAAAAAAAAAGAAACGTCAGTTGGCCTGGTTTGGTTCAGAAGCTATTCCTTTACTTTTATAGTCTGTCTTGAAGACAGCTCAAATACGAAGAGATTGTAAACACGCGATCCGTTGATAGCTTTGATAAAGATTAGTTCCATATGTGTAGTAATGTTATTAGTTACAATTAAAATACCATGGTTTCATTTGAGCCACTCGGTAATACTAGGAGCATATTTAACAAATTACAGAAAATCTCCCAATATTGTTTCAGTCACAATTGAATATAAAACATACATGCTGAGAAAATTGAAATAACGTTGTTTGTTTTCGCTATTGTCACATCAAAATTCGACGCTCCGACAGCAAACTGATGGAAGAGGTAGAGAGAAGAAACTCATTGAAATATTCGATGAAGAATAAACAATGAATTGCGCTGTTCTGTCAGAATTCATTCGATGAGAGAATGTACCTCAGGCATTGATAGAATACTAACTGTGCAGATGAAAAGGAGAAAATTGAAAGGAATAACAGTATCTTAAAATAACTCATTGGCTTTTTTCTTTTGTTGCTAACAGTTTTTCGTTGCTTTCTCTTACTCTTCACAACAGCATTTTCAATAGAAACTATAGGTGGAGTTCGTCCTTAAGCATCAACAAAAGTACAAATATACTGCGTTATAGAAAAATCTAGAAAAAAGTGGACTATTGACTATATAAAAAAGTCATTGAGTCTCTGTGTGTCTACACAACAATAATTGCTCACAACTTCGCATTAACGATCGAGCAACGATTTACAGCAATATGAACGAGGAGAAACCAACGGAGAACATTTCTACACCATCAAAGGCTGCTATTACAGCAAGAACATCGCCTTATACTCACCATGAAAGACGACGTATTGCCCAAAACTTCCTGCTTATCTGGATGGACACTGGTATGGATCCATCAAATAAAGATTGTCAAGTTACCTTGGCCCAATTACAAAGCGTCGTCAATGACGTAAATATTTTCACCCAACCAGATGAATGTGTCGACTTTCTCACTGAAGTCGATGACATGAAAGTTTTCATGATTGTAGAAGGTGCTCTTGCTCAACAAATGTACCTCTCATTCATGATGTTCCTCATCTTGATACAATTTATATCCTTCAAGCTGATAAATCCGCAGGTAAACAATGGACGAAGGTATGGGTCAAAGTAAAGAGTGTACATACAGAAATTGTGTCCATCTGTGGATGTCTTCAACAGGACATAAAACAATGCAATCAAGACTCCATTGCCGTAAGTTTTGTCGCAGTGAATGAAGGAACTTTCAACCAAAATCTGGATCAACTGGAAGCTTCGTTTATGTATACAAAAATATTCAAGGAAATTCTTCTCGAGATGAAATACAATGAAACATCCACCAAGGATTGCATCCACTTTTGGCGCCGCCACTATATGGATAACACTCGTATGTTGAACGTCATTGATGAGTTCGAACGTATGTATTGTCCCCAATCATCCATTTGGTGATACACTCGGGAGTCCTTCGTCTACGAGATGCTTAATCGAGCTCTTCGTACATTGGAAGCCGATACCATCATTATTATGGGCTTCTTTGTCCATGATCTTCATTGTCAACTGGAAGAATTACATCAAAAACAGGTCAGCAGTTATGGTGGACAATTCTTAGTTGTTTACCGTGGACAGGGTTTATCCAACAAAGACTTTGAAAGACTTCTAAAGACAAAAGGCGGATTGATGTCCTTTAACAACTTTTTATCCACCAGTAAACATCGAGAAGTTCCACTGACCTTTGCTGAAAGTGCTTTGACAAGAAGCGACATGATCGGCATTCTCTTTCAAATAACCATTGATCCTTCCGTCTCGTCCACTCCTTTCGCCTCAATCTCAGACGAGAGTTACTTCAAAACAGAAGAAGAAATTCTCTTCTCTATGCACACCGTCTTTCGTATTGATGAAATTACGTAAATTGACAAGAACAATCCACTTTATCAAGTTGATCTTAAACTCACTTCAGATGATGATGAACAACTGCGCACTCTTACCAGTCGCATACGAGAAGAGACTCCAGGTAAAACAGGATGGTAACGATTGGAACAACTACTACTTAAATTAAAGGAATCTAAAAAGGCTGAAGAACTATACAAAGTACTGCTCGAAAAGTCATCCGATAAGCGTGACAAAGCATTTTTTTATAATCAGCTCGGATATGTGAAGTGTTATCAAGGTGATTATGAGAAGGCTATTGAGTGTTACGAAAAAGCACTTAAATTCTGTCAAGAAACTCTTCGTCCAAATCATCCTGATTTTGCTAGTTCTTACAGCAACATCGGCGAGGCGTATCGAAGCATGGGAGAATACTCGAAAGCACTTTCATTTTGCGAAAAAGCACTTGAAATTGAACAAGAAATTCATCCTCCAAATTATCCTGACTTGGCTATATCCTACAACAACATCGGTTCACTGTATGATAACATGGGAGAGTACTCGAAAGCACTTTCATTTCATGAAAAAGCACTTGAAATTCAACAAGAAACTCTTCCTTCAAATCATCCTGTTTTAGCTACTTCCTACAGCAACATTGCTGGTGTTTATTACAATATGGGGGAGTACTCCAAAGCACTTTCATTTTTAGAAAAAACACTTGAAATCTTCGAAAAAACTCTTCCTCCAAATCATCCTGATTTGGCTACGTCTTACTGCAACATGGATGTGATATATGACAAGATGGGTGAATATACGAACGCACTTTCCTGTTATGAAAAAACACGTAAAATATTCGAAGAAACTCTTTCTCCAAATCATCCATTGTTGGCTACTACCTATAACAACATCGCTTCAGTGTATAACAAGATGGGAGAATACTCGAAAGAACTTTCATTTCAGGAAAAAGCACTTCAAATTGAACAAGAAACTCTTCCTTCAAATCATTCTTTATTGGCTACTTCCTATAACAATATCGCTGATGTTTATTACAAAATGGGGGAGTGCTCGAAAGCACTTTTGTTTTTCCAAAAAACACTTCAAATCTTCGAAGAAAATCTTCCTCCGAATCATCCTAATCTGGCTACTGCCTATAACAACCTTGGTTCAGTGTATGACAAGATGGGAGAGTACTCGAAAGCACTTTCATTTCATGAAAAAGCACTTCAAATTGAACAAGAAACTCTTCCTTCAAATCATCCTTCATTGGCTATTTCCTACAACAACATCGCTGGTGTTTATTACAAAATGGGGGAGTGTTCGAAGTCACTTTTCTTTTTCGAAAAAGCACGTGAAATCTTCGAAGAAACTCTTCCTTCAAATCATCTTTTATTGGCCATTTTCTACAACAGCATCGCTAGTGTTTATCACAACATGGGGGAGTACTCCAAAGCACTTTCATTTTACGAAAAAACACGTGAAATCTTCGAAAAAACTCTTCCTTCAAATCATTCTAATTTGGCTGCTTGCTACAGCAACATGGGTTTACTGTATATGAGAAAGAAAGACTACTCAAATGCATTCTTATTTCTCGAACGTGCACTTGACGTTTGGCAAAGTTCTTCATCTCCTAATCATTCTGAACTGCAGAGTGTGAAACAATTCATCGAATCGCTAAAAGAAACTGTAAACCGCCGTCAATGACTCTAATAAGAACTATTTTTTTCTCGGAGTTCTCTGTAATTTGTTTTTTTTATGGAGTCATTCCTTGTGATAAAAAAAATTTTTTATATATTGGAGTATTGAAATGTTTGCTGCATCGAATGATGTAAAAATCATCTAATTATGTCGAAAAATAATTAAGTACTTAATGGTGATTCACGAGAAATTGAAGTTGTTCTTATTAGAAGCATTGCGCCTTCTAAGAACAACAAGTGAGAAAAATGTTTCTAATAAGAACACTATGTAAAATACATAGAAATAGGGTGTGGGTATCGTGTCTTCACCCACACCCACACCCTTTACAATGCAAAAGAATAGTGACAGTATTTTTAATGACGGAGCAGGACAAGTAGGAACAATTGGTGCCAATGATAATGATTTTTCGAAGCCTTATCAATATGTTTACAATAGAACTGTTACCATTAATATTATTATGTGTTCTTGATCGAATACTATTTGTTGACTGTAAAAAAAAAGAAAAAACGTTTTGTTTCCTTGTTTGTGAAAAGCTTTCAGCACAATATTCTGCGACCTTAAAATATAACATACGACGAAGTTGTTGGAATTGAATATGAAGATGTTTGTTGTCTAGAGGCTTTTTCTATCTTGTCTGTCACGGTCTGTGGGACAGAGTGATAGCTCACTTTTCTCTCTCTAAACATCAACACTCATTTGCGGGTCCTGTTTCACAAAATACACATTTCAAAACAAAGCCTATTGTAAAAAATTGATATTTTGTAGATGTTGAAGATATTACATCAATTAAAGACTTCAATGTAAGACATAAATCATTATCACTATCGAAACGACGAAATAATCGAGTTAAATAAGCAACTGCTGACAGAGATAATTCACTAGTATGATCTATACAAACCAAAAAGAAAGTAAAATAAAAATCATATTTTGTCTGTTGGAAAAACTTTGAGGTTTAGTTATGTTCTTCAATTTTTTTTTATATTAATAAAGATTAGGAAAAAAATAATTGTGCGGATAATAGAAAAAGTTAAAATACTTAAACTATGTGTAAAAAATTGTCTGCACAACTATGGCTAGTCGATGTTGTTGTAACTATCAGTGATTGAAGAGAAATTAGAAGCAGAATTTCATGTTGTTTCTAACTATATATTGAGAATTTTTCTGTAACGTAAAATTAGTTCATTAGAAACAAATTATTGATGACTGCCTAAAGCGACATTTGTAAAAACCGTAGAATTAATAGGTGTCGTCAAACATGCTTGCTCATTTTTTTCGAACACTTAGATATCATTGAAGAATATTAAAAGCAGTCAGTTAGAAACTATGCACTAATTCCACTGATAATGAAACGATCTTAATTGATCAAAGAGTTTTCTCAATGAAAACAAGTGGATAGTTAACTATCGACCATACTGATATCAAATTTGAGCATGAGAAATTCCCATAGCCTTTTATTGAGTAATTTTCTAGAAAATCAGTTTTTTAGACTAACAAATTTTTCGCAAAAATTTTTTTTGATCAATCCACATTAAAGAATATATCGAGTCGCCGCCTAGAAAACAATAACTTTTTCTAGTTTAACGTGTTTATTTTTGCAGAAAATACAGCCATTCATTTTTGAAAAACAGAAAAATTTGTTGTCTTATACAAAACTCAAGATGCTCTATAATCTAAATAGATCCTAAATGTTGTTGACAAAGTTTGTTTTATTAGTCTGGAAAACCGATTTTTTAGAAAACTAGCATATAAAAATCTAAAGATAATTCTTATGATCTTATCTAGAATCAGCACGACTGATAGCCTACAATTTACTAGCTTTCAGTTTGAAAGCTAGCGATCAGTCGAAAACATTCTTTTGTCAATCGGTAGTTGAAAGTGCAAATCCCTATAGTACAACTTTGCAACGTAGACAATATTCTCTATCATGGAGGAGTATAAGCATTTCTGTTCTTAAGCATTCCGTTCTCAACGAATAAGAACCCATCTTATATTGTGTTGGCTAGCAGCTTTTTGAAGACACCGAAATATTAACACATTTTTGCTTATCTTTCCATTTAAAAAACTGAGATGTATCGCATTTTCAGGAAGAGAACGCGAAAGTGATACCCCTATTATCCTGCCATACCAAAAGAATCTCATCTAATCAAATTTAACATAAGGAAAAAACTTTTGCATGTGGACAACATTTTCTCTGCCCAACCTATTAGAAAAGCTAAAAAATGTTTTTACGCATTATCATTAACAGAAAAATAAAACAGAAATTTACTATCAGGAGCATTTGATAAACATAATTCAAGTTTTCGATTAGAACTAAATCGTTCTAGTATTGTATAAATAGTTCCATATTTTTCTTTATTTCAATATCATTCAAATACACATTCAAAACCTTGATATGTTAATGCTGTTGTTGTTGCGTCTGTTTGATCATTAATAAGTTTAAGTCCATGTATTGTTATTCGTTTAATTTCTTTTTTTAATTGTTCAATTGTTGTTTTTTGATCATTTGTTTGAATTTTTCCAAAACAAAAAATCTTGTAATGTTGTTAATTCCAAATCATTTAATAATTGATCATTATTTTAATCAACGATTGTAAAGTGTGAGTGTGACGATGTGAATGTAGATATGGGTGTCAAGTTCCCCTCTTTTAACATCGAGAACCACACCCGTACACGCCCATATCCATATCGACATCCTCAAATTGAGTCGAGAGTTAGTTACATTTGATCGCTAACCAATCAAGAGGAAAAGCAGAGAACAAATATGGGTGGAGTGGGTGTGTGAGTGTAGGTGTCAATGGAGAGAAACTTGACGTTGACACACACCCACAAATTTTCCATTCGTCTTCTTCAATTAATTGACGATAATTTTATTTCATCACAGTCTAAACTCGATTTTCTTTCTTATGTGAGTCAGATGTGATACAGATGGTTTCGTTTAAAAAATATTGAAATCTCCATCAATTGGAGTTGACAGAAAACGACGAAAGTGTTGAATACTTTCTCTTGCTTGACAGTACAAATCATTGATCTTCCATCATTTAGTATCAAGAAAGACAAGAGAGATTTGATGCAAATTTCACGCTTTGGTTTTCTTTTAATCAGTAATGGTTGCCTAAACAAGAGTTCTTTTGCATTGGTAATTTTCTAAAACTTTTAACATTTAAAGTAGCAAGTTATAACTCAAAGTCATCTGTATTTGTTGCCTGAATACAGGGCTTGCCTCAGTAATTAAAAGAAAAGTTATATGTTTGAATCGAATATGTTCATATTGAGTGAGTTGCTTCCATTCTATTATGTTTTTTTCGATGTTTTCCTTTTTCATTATTTGTTCGACATATTCTACTTTCAACGTTTTCCATCAAGCTCCATCCACTTATTCGATCATTAGTGTTCTCTAAAACCCGAATATAACGAACGAGTTTCAATTTGTATAGATTTTTATCGTAGATGAATAAGAAAGATGTTGAGTCCAGACCATAGTTCGAATATAGAATTGATTGTGACTGTTCCACATCTTGTAGATTTTCGCCGATTGCCTCGGCTGCTAATTGAATCACCTTAAGAAAAATCTCACTATCGACTGTTGATCGCCATTGAAAGCTAATTCAAATCGAATAAAATGAACGAAAAAAATTACGACGCATGTAGATACTTTCTTTTCAGTTATCTCCGTAGATCGGGATGTGCGTTAACGGCTGTCATTCTGACTATGGGAATTTGGTAAGGTTTTTATCATTAGCTGATATAGAGTTGATGCATATTTTGTCTTTTAACAACAATGAATCATAAAAGTCTTTGTGTCATTTATCTCCTAAATATAATTATTTTTTCTTTTGTATTGAAGAATATGAAAAAACATGCGACAAAATCTCATATTTGTCATGCGCTCGATTGATACAAGAATAATCGATGTTTTTACTATGTATGAAGTAATAAACGATCGAAAACAATATTTGAATGATGAAATCTCATCTAACTCTCAATAAACATAAGAAAGATTTAAGATAATTTTACTCATAGAAAATATGTCAGATGTTTGAGAAAAGAATTATAACAAGACGAATAAACAAATTTGTGGTTGTAAGATACAAACAGCATGTTGATTGTGAATAGAATGTAAATATTTTTATTCATGTAAAACATTCAATCTAAAGATTCTTGAATCATCGATCAATTCTCGATATCAGAGAATTAGTATCAATGAATGAGAAATGCGTTTTATTGATGAACATATTGATGATATTGACAAAGAAAATCAAGTTTAGATCAAAGAAAAAAAAATACTTAATGAGAAAAAGAGACAAAAACGTTTAGACGACGAAGAAAAATCAAATAAAAACAACAATAAATAATGTCATGGCATATCAAAAAGTAGAATCCGATGCAACAAAATAAGAACAAAACATAAAAGGAGATAGTTCGTATAAGTATTCTTACTCTGAAAGACTAAATTTTTTTTTCTTCGTTTTTGTACTTGTTTGTCTTAATTGGGATCGAGCTTCGTCAGACAAACTACAACTTTGCATTGAAAGTTCCTTCAATGTTTTGTTTCGTTCAAGTATTTGAATGATAGCTTCGAGTGATTCATCAGTAATCAATTTATTGAAGGAGATATGAAGTTTTTCAAGAGATGAACATGATGACGCATCATCAATGTCACTAAGTACGTCGGCTAGTAAACGAACACCATGATCTGTCATACCTGTATTAGGTATGGCGAGAAAAATGATTGATCGATTGGTTTTTAATAAACGAACCAAGTGTTGAATGCCAACATCTCCTATGGCTGAGTTGTTAGAGAAGCTGAGATATTTTAACTTCTTCGGTGTTGCAAGCAATGCATCGACAAGCATTTTCACACCAAGTGATGTCAGTGCATTATCACGTAATAGGAGTCCAGTACATTTTGTTTTCTTTCCTAAAGCTTGTTGTATAATAGATGGTATATCATTGTCGGTCAAATTCATCGCAGATAGATTCATAATACCAGTGGTATCCAATTCATTATCTCCTGAGAACTTCTTTTCCAAAATCTCATTCTTTTGATATTCATGTTTTAAAAAGATGAACTGTTCTTCGAATGTCATGTTGACGTCGTCTTCTGTTGGTTTGGTCTTTTCAGAGCCACTAGCTTTGTTTTTCTTCAGATTTTGATTACTTTTTTTCTTCTCAAGCTATGAAAACAGATTAAAAAATAGATATGTGTACATCATCAATTTTTTAAGAATTTCAAAATCAGTCTATTCTTCAAGCGATTCTAAGTCTTATAATAACTAGGTCTGATATATTGTATTGCCTTCTCTGTTAAGATGTATACTGATCTATATGGATTCAAATTTTTCAATGAAGAGTACTTGAAGAGTTTACTACAACGCCAAACAATAAGAAAGTAATCTATAGTTTTTGCCACTGCATAGATCAATAGCAGAGTTTTGACTTCGTAAAATAAGTCATATTGAAATCGGCAAGAATATTTTATTGTCAATATTACTACTATCACCTTAATTTTCTTAGATGATTTTCTCGTGTGTTCTCTCATAGAAAGAATGTTCTAAACTGATGATCGTATCATTAAACTCCAAAAAAAAAAGAAATTTACCGGCAATTTTTGGAGATTTTCTTTGACTTCATTACCATGGTTTTGGTGTTCCGTTGTCAGCTCTTCTAATACTGTTGAATGATCACCATCACTTGATTTTCCATTAGATGATCTTGAGGAATGCTCTGATCCAGATCTGTCTCGAGTGTTTGGTGCCAGTGAAAGCCGATCTTTGCTTTTCCTATTGAAACCATAAAGAAAATATTTGGTTTTTGTTCTCTATGTGGTCACTATTTTCAGATGATTAGACACGATTTCTCGGTTTCAATTCGTGCACAGTTCAATAAATGTTGCGAAATAAATTTAGAATACCAGTTATTTTTTTTCATCAACACAAACTTTCTTCAAAAACATATTTTGAAAAACTACGAGCTAGGTAAAGATATGATGCTTAATTATAACTAAATTCATGTTTATCATGTTATCAACTTGAAATAATTCTCTAATATATGAATTAGAAACGTAATTTCGAGCCACGATTAACGACAATTAACAAGTATTTATTTATTGTATGATGACTGAAATGACGTATTTTTAAATAAGTGAACTTTTCTCAAAACTACTGACAACTTAATGAACTTTTATTTTCTTGGAAAAATTAGTCATCATATATGATTCCATAGGGGAAAAGATTGCTTGTCTTCAGATGCACATGATACATCTAGATGTTGTTCTCGCTAAAATTTAATCTCTTTGCTTCATGGTGTGTCAAAGATAAAAGTAAAATTCGATTCATAGAAACTTCAAACAGTTTTAGATATAAACATCTCAAAGGAACAAATTTTCTACTCATTTGACCACTTACTACGTATAGCTGGTTAACAACTTTCACATTTTCTGCTAATCAATGTAATCTCGTTTTTCTTTTGACATTCTGTTTGTCTTAAAGAAAAGTTGCCTGATATTTTTTCGATAATGTCTATTTAGTAACAAATATATTTTTGAGATTATTCTCTGAATAGCATTGAATCTTTATGTAAAGTTCATTGAAAGCCTCTTATCACAAGTATGATGTTTTCTCATCTAACTAAAACAATAAGAAGTTGATATATCAAATATTAGCCTAGCCATATATGTAAACTTCAAGTATATACGCTAAAAATATTAATCTTATTCTCAATAAAAACATTCAAGAAAAGAGATAAGATATTGCCGAAGAGAATAAAAAAAAGTGAGTAGACAGTTTTCATACTATCCTCCAAAATGGTTTATTACTTTTCTTATAATAAAAGAATGCAATTGTTTTAAAAATGACTAATTTAGGTGAAAGAACATACTTTTCTTTAAAAAAATTATGATTTTCAAAAGTTGAATTAGACATTTAGAACTCAAAAGAATTTTTCAAGTTGATAAAGATCATCATATTTTACCTGCTTTTTTCTCTTCCCTCACTACGTAAGCCGCCTTTTGACATTTTTCTTCTTGGTTTTGATTTTTTCTCCTTGGAAGCTGGACTAATATCTTGATCATCTTTTGAAATAATGATTGTTTTTGAAAGAAGAGTGCTTGACGACAAAGTATTGTTAAGAGCTTCCATATTTCGTGTATAATGCTGCTATTATGTTGTCAGTATATTGTTCGATGACCTATTTATACGCTGCTGTCCGAGAGCAGCGACTGATTGCTTTCGTCGACGTAGCGTGACATACAAATCTTTTACCGTCAATAATTAGAACTTTTCCCTGCGTAAAACGTCACGTACATCGTAGGAGCAGACATCCATAATCAATAAGAGATTACAATAGAGAACGTAATTGCTACATCGAGTTACCATTACCGTGTAACAACAAATTATGCCGATTGGAAAACAAAATTTTTTCTTCGCATGAATGTATCCGATATAGAACATGTCTCGATCGGCAAGCATTTAGGTGCATTTCTATCACATATACCAAAGTAAACATGTCAGATAAGATTTTGCCTAATGAGGATATGGGTGTATATGGTATGTGGGTGTCAAGTTCCTCTCCATTAACACCTACACTTTTTTTTTTACAAAAATATGCTTCTTTTTTGTAGCTTGTTCAAATAAATTCTGTTGTCTCTATACTTTCCTAGATTTGATCGAAAAATAAGAAGAAATAGTATTTCATACTCAACTGGATGTGCTTCGCAATTTGAACAGATTAGAATAGTTTTTGACAACATTTTTTCGCTAGAAAAAAAATGGTTTTCTATAAATGGATTTCTAGACTTGTGTGGCCGTCGGTCTTGTATTGGTATTCGAAATCAGCATGGTCGATTACCTCTAACCGACTAGATTTCTGAAGTAACAAGCTTGGATGTCTGCAATTATCCTAGTCTACATTATTAGTTTCATTAGCACAAAATACAAAAACTTACAATGGAATTGGTCGATATTTCAGAAAACCTTATTGTAAAAGTCGACGTAATAATTAAGAATAAGAAATAAAAGCTTAATCAATAAAGATATAAAAAAAATAAACAATGATTTCGATTATGAATTCTAAATCGATATTTACTTCGAAGTTGTTTCTTTCAGATAAATCTTTATTATTCTATTGAAAGACAATAGTCGTTCCATTATTTTATTTTAAATATTAAAAAAAAGTAAAATTCTAAAAAATCGATTTCTTTTTTACTTAACTGAATAAATTCAATAAAATATTATTTTGTGAAAAATATTTTAGATTTCAAGGACTTTTTAGATGCAATTTTTGAAAGATAACTGTCCTTATTGTTGTACATTAACTCATTGTGAAATTATTAAACTTGATTTCAATTGAAATGTCAAGTATTACATATATCATTTCGACTAGAACTATGAATAAAAGAAAATCATTATAAATAGTTTAAAATAAAAAATAACTATATATTTATCCTGCAATCAATTTTTATTTCGTAAATATTATCTTTCCGCTCTTTCAACATCACTTCGTCATTTTCCCATAAATAATAACAGTGAGTAGTATAGAAAATAATATCTCAGATAGACGAAAAAAAAGAATAAACCTTCGTTCGTCAATCAATTGAACTATTCATTGACGCTATATTTTTTTTTCAATGAGGACATCCGTTCATTTTGTTCAATGATAGCAGTACTCATAAACAAATAATCAACATATATATTTCTGCAACGTGGGTAAAGTTAGCACCAGATTCGAGTTTTTGCTGTTCGGATTCGTTCGTCTACTTGAGTTAGGTGCAGAATTTTATGGCGAATCCGATGGTGTAATGATCAAAGGGGGTCATCGAGGAAAAACTAGCACTTGACCCCGAAATACTGAATTTTTCAAAATTTTTTGAAAAGTATTTGCTGTCCAGATTCGTTATTTTACTTGAGTTGGGTCTAAAAATGGTCAAGTTGGATTCAGCATGAAATTCTGCATCGAATGATATCGATTTAGTATGGGATCATCGAGAAAAAAATTTTCATATGGGTGAGGGTCACCATGAGGGGGTGTGGTGAAAAATTTTTGCTCGATGACCCCATACTAAATCGATATCATTCGATGCAGAATTTCATGCTGAATTCAACTTGACCGTTTTAAGACCCAACTCAAGTAAAATAACGAATCCGGACAGCAAATACTTTTCAAAACAATTTTGAAAAATTCAGTATTTCGGGGTCAAGTGCTAGTTTTTGCTCGATGACCCCCCTTGATCATTACACCATCGGATTCGCCGTAAAATTCTGCACCTAACTCAAGTAGACGAACGAATCCGGACAGCAAAAACTCGAATCTGGTGCTAACTTTACCCACATGTCTGCGTGGGCACACACACTCATACTCTTATGGAAGCCAAATGCGTACGCAACCGACTACAGAAATGCTCTGCTTTACACCGCATTAATTTAAAGTTCATTCATGATGATTTTTACTATGTTAAAAATTTTTAATAGAAACAAATGAATTATTTGCTCATTAAATTCTAATATAAGGAAAGAATCATTCCACAAATCATTTTTTACGTTCAAGATTTTATTGTTCAAAAGATCGTTGTACCTTTCTTGTAAACAATATGTTCAATTGTTAATGATATTGTGAATTAAAGTTGTTATTCGTAGAAAACAGAGATGCCCATCGGATTGGTGACAGGTTTTTGTTTTCTTTGAACGACATCGCAAAATTGGACAAAGTTTATTATCCATAAATGTAATATTTTGAGACTCGATGAATTTTATGGATTAGTAACAATAGTTCTAGTTCAATACAATTACAATTATGAAAGTCGAAACATTTTTTAAATACTAGCTTAGCAGTGGTAGATTTTCAGTCACGATGGACATCTCTGGTAGATAATCGAGAAATTGTATATTTATGAGAAAATTTTTATCGGTAATTGTTGCTCAATATAGAAGATGTTGTTTACGAATCTACGGTTTTAAGATGCTAATAAAGATTTTTATAAATGGATACATATTATAGATCAAAAATTTCAATGAAACTGAAGTTTGTTTTCCGCGCGTTTACTTCTTCTTTTTTCTAGAATTACTAAAAATGAAACTACGGATTATAATCTCAGAATTTTCTTATTTCTGAAGTATTATTTTACTAATTATTTTTTGATCTATTTTTCACGTACTAATTTACTTTGGATTCCATATGTTCATAGTAGAATTTTCAATCGATTAGTTATTGCCTATTTGATTTACCTAGAATAGAACTGTAGAAATTATAATCCTACTTTGTAGTGTAGGTTAGAGTAAAAGTCTGAACAAAGTTTATCCTACACATCTCTAACTGAGAATAACTTCCCTAAATAATATAATATCTTTTAATGATATTTTGCACTCAAAATTATAATAGTAGACTTGAACAAATTTGTTAAATTGAACATCATATCTATAATGTCATAATCTCCACGTAGTTCATTTTTGTTTCGTAAACATTTATACTGTTAATATGAATTTTATATTTAATTCTTTTTCAATAATAAAACAACGTAATATTCTACGACAGCTAAATACAAATGATAGTTTATTATATAGCTGAAAACGACTAGAAAAAATCAACTATTTTAGAAATTAAAAGTCGATGAGACTATGTGCATCATGTAGTCTCAAATGAGCTAAAAATATCCTGAAAAGAGTTCGTGCCTTTAGCTCATTGCTGCAGAGTTATCATACTTTTACGGGAAATTTTTCAATGAATGTCACAGCTCAAAAAAATTAATTTTCGGTTTCTATCTTAAGATTCACCTAAGGTAACAGGAAATCTTTTGCATTGTTCATATAAGCCGGCAGACTTTATGTTCTTATTTTAGAACGGAAGCAAATCAAAAAATCTTAAAATTGCTCTTATTACGACCTGTCTCTAGCAAAGTATGAAGTTGAAACTCGAAAATCAATTTTTTGTTACCTTGATATTCATTTTAGCAATTATATAGCCAACTTCTCTCATTAGTATGTGGACATCTAGATTTGATGGAAAACATCAAAAGAAAAGATTGATAGAAATATATTAAATCAGATGAACTATATATTTTATTTTTAGAAAACATTAGTTTAGAGTAAATAATGACGCTACACTACAGTTTTCTTCAAACAAGAATACAACAGATGTTACTTGAGAACAATACAAACGCGAGATATCGCTAAAGTCAATTTTCTAATCAGATGAATTAAATATAATAAATAATCTATATGTATTATGTATTTTACATGCTGTTAATACTAATTTTTAAGAATGAATTTCATCCGTACAAATTTTTAGTTCAACATTAATTTATATATTTGTGATTAATAGACTGAACACCATAACAAACATTTCACAATGATTGTTCTCATTCTCATAAATTGTGTCCTCTATATATATATCATATGATTGGTTGTTTTCTATCTCCAAACGTGTGGTAAAGTAAGTACCTGTTAATAGAATAGTACTATACATATGTCTCTTTTTTTATATACGAATATACTAAATTACCTAATTCATTGTAACTTTTCGTTACATATAATTAATAAATATATTCTACTATCTTCTTGTTTTATTTTTAAGATCAATTTCTAATAATAAATATGACATCTACTAATTCAACAAGTCGAAAATCCAAACGTGATGATCCAAAACGTTCATCTGCACCTGTAACTGTTGTTGTTAGTAGTGAACAACAAATGACAAAGGTTGGAATCTTTTATTTTTATTTCATTTAAATAAATTTTTTATTATAAAATTTTTCAAGACAAAAAATGCTGTTAAATCTAATGATGCTGTTGTATTAACTCAAACATCAAATACAATGAATAATAATAAAAAACGTCGAGCAACAGAAATTATTCAAAATGAAGTTTGTTAATTTTATTAAAACCAATTATATGAAAGAATATTTCTTGTATGTTGTTTTTTCTTAGGTGCCTTTATCTGAACGTTTAAGTGCATTTGAAAGTCAAACATCAACTGGTCAATTGAATACAGAACAAAAACAACAAAGTCTATCAGCTGATAGTCTCGTAACATTACTTACACAAGGATTACAAAGTTCTGATACAACTCTACTTGATGTAAGTAAACAATGGTTTTTTTTTTTTTTTTTTTGTTAATTCTCATCTATTTTATTTTTAAATGATAATAATTGTATGAAACAATATAAACAAAGAAAATAGAATGAAATATATTGGGCTTAAAAAATTTTTTTTGTTCGTTTAAAATTTTAAATTGATGCTTGATTATTTGGCATTGATGTTGCTATTGCTATTGGCGATGAGCCAGTTTTTGGTAAACTATTTCGTTTTTTATTTGAACGTTCAGTTGTTTGTCGTTTTATTGCTATTGATGAAGCAAATTCTTTTCCACCTTGACTTTTAAGATATTCAAATACATCTCGTGAACCTGTTTCACGTGCCCATTTAAGTGGTGAATAACCTTGATTATCTGTTGCATTAAGACGTGCACCACGATTAATAAGTAAACGTACAAGTTCAATATCATTATGTGCACATGCAACATGAAGAGGAGTCCAACCAGATGTATCTTTTGTATTTAATTCAGCTTTATGTTTAATTAATAGACGAACAATATCTGAATGACCTATTCGAAAAAAAAACAAAAAAATTTTTTATTCTGTATGAAGTTTTCTTTTGAAATTTTAATTTACCGAGATCAACAGCACGATGAAGTGCAGTTGCACCATCTTTATTGGCAATGTTTATATTAATATTGTGTTTAATAAGTAATTCAATACATGATACTGAATGTATTTTGACGGCTTCATGCAAACATGTTTCGCCAGTATTATCTAAATTATTAATAAAATTTTTTTGTGCTTCATTATCAAATTTTGTAAGAGCTGCGTCAATTAAATATTGAGCAACATTATATGCTTGACCAGCAATAGCATAAAAAAGAACGTTATGTCCTTCATTATCTCGACTAAATAATTGTGCACCTGCTTCAAGTAATAAACGACATATAGCCATATTACCATAAAAAGCAGCAAACATTAATAATGTTGCTGCTTTATCAGCATCGGATAAATTTGATAGACATTTTGTTTGCTCCGGTGATGAACATGATCGTAGTTGTCGACCTAATTCTTCCGTATTATCCGTACATATTAATGTAAATAATTTATCAAATTTTGACGATTGTGATTGACCCATGAAGTTTTGTTTTATATATAAATCTACAAAAACGAGATCATTTTTTAGTTTATTAATTTTCGTTTCTTTTTTATTGTTGTTTCATTTGATCGTAAGTTGCATTTCATATGCAAGTGCATATAAGTTATACGCATCATTGATCGTTAGTTCGTTTTTTTTTTTTCTTAATTGAAGAATATTCATACAGATAAAAAAGAGTAAAGAGAAAAAAATAAATGAATATTATACATATTTTTCATATGTCTGATTATCTAACGTCACATCTTTTCTTTTAGCAAGTATTATGTTGTCGTAATGAAAAAATTATTGAAAAAACTGTGCGTGCACTTGCCATTCCAGTTCTTCTACCATTAATCGATTGTTTAAATAAATATCTTTATCAAAGTGCAGACAAGTAAAATGAAAAAAAAAAAAAAAGAATTCTATTTAAAAAGAAAAATCGAAATTTCTATTCATACATTTCAGAGGTCTTATTGCATCAAAATGGTTACGAGCTGTATTAAGTACGCATACATCATATCTTATGACAGTAGGTTAAAAGAAAAGATTTTTATATTAATTTTTTTACGAATAACTTCTTTTTTTTAGTGTCCCGATATAACAGAACGTCTTGGTCCAATGTATGAATTAATCGAAGCACGTACAAGACTTTATCCAAAATTAGCAAGACTTCATGGAAAATTATCACTTATTGCTTCACAAGTAAATAAAAAAAAACACAGAAGGAATCCATCATGTTATCTATTCGAATAAGAAAATTTTCGTCTTAGCTTTCACTTAGAATTTTTCTCCTTGTAGAAAACAAATAAATTTTACTTAACATTTTCTATTGATAAAAAGAGACAAATGATGCGATACATATTCCCAATGCGCTCAAAATGGGGCTTTTAAAAAGGTAATAATGAAAGCATTTGTCTTTATATATATATCATTGATGATATATATGTAAGCAAAAAAAAATAAGTGAAGCATATCGAAAAAAAAAGAAAAGTAAAAAAGGTATTTATCAGTTAGATATGCTATCAATAAACTGTTAGATTTGTTAGGAAAATATTGTTTAGTAATTGATATCGATGCAGTATTCTAATTATTGAAAAACAAAAATTATACAAATGAAAAATTACTTTCTAACTCATTTGAAAATCGATTTTACGCTTTTCATTCTTGCATGATAACATTGACATGGGTCATCAAATTTGTAGAGATACCATAGAAAAAAACAAATTAACTGTTTTTCCTTTGTATACATATGTTTTTCAATGCTTTATCATAACTTGAACGATTGTTTTGTTTATCAAATATTAAATTTTGCGAATAGTATTAATTGTTTATACGTCTGAGAATTTTAAACATATAATGTTTTTTTTTTAATATGCATTTTCTAGTTCACTTATTTTAACTTAGAAAAATGTTGAATTTTGATGCTGCATTGAAAAATATGAAAACTGGACAATTCGTCGTGGATATACTCTCTCATCTATTCTATATACTCCTTTAGGATACTTTAAGACTAATATATTATGCAACGGATTGTCCTAGCATTGAAAAATACTATTTTTTTTTCTTGTACAATAGGGATTTCTAATAAAAGTTTATTTCTAATAGAGAATGATTGTATGCATAATTAATAATCAGATGTTGATTTTTGTATGAATATTTACATCTATTCAAATATGAAACTGTAAAATATTTAAATAGATTACCCAAATATTGATATATTGAATACATTGATGTAATCATACGAATTTTATGCTAGAAGATAATATACTTGATGAGAATTGTAGTTTGTAATCGTTGCTTCCTAATTGCGGTGAAAAAGTAAGTCGAAAGATGACTACTTTTTGAAATGAGTAAAATTGCATGGTCACATTTTTGTTGTGTTTCTAAAAAAGTTACCATTTTTTTTAATTAATTAGTTACTGCGAAACTTGCATCATTATTTGTATATTTTTGATACATGCAAACGAATAAAAATAAGAGTGACATTTCATGTGATATAATGAATACAATATTCACTTAGTCAACAATGTGAAAAAGTGAAAGAGCATTTTTGTACAATAATTATTTTTATCGATTAACCCTTTCAGGACAGGGCTCTTTTTTTACGACGCAATATTTCAATCTATAATCACCGCTATAAGTCTTTCAAAGACTAATTTGACACAAATCATATAACAATGACTTTTAGATCAATGATAAATAATACGCATCAATAGATCGGAACAGGAAACACCTTTATGCATATGCCGTTCCGAAAGGATTAATTCATGAAAATTAGAATAGTTCATTTACATATGTTTTTTGTGCATTTAAATCATGTCCTCGTGTTATTACTTTAAAAAATTATTAAATTTTAAAATGAAATAAGTGTTGATCTTGTCTTCTCCCAATACCTACATTTTCTTCAAGATCATGAAAAATTTTGACGAAGTATTTCTAATTGATATATAGATGTTTTAGAAGATGCTAAAGATCGTATGAGAGAAGTAGATTTTTTAGTTTTTTTATTTTGGCTAATGCAGAAGTGTAAATATGAATAAATATTATTTTATGTGTTTTTGATTGCTCATTTATCAAAAAGTCATTGCACTTTAGAAGCGCAATTAAAACAGGGCGAAGTATTTTACTCATTCTAAAAAGTGGTCGTTTTTGACCATAATTAATACAGTTTTCTATTTGTTTGTTATCTGAGATGTTTGTGTCGAAAAAAATCTGCGAACTAATTCCATCTATGTTTGATATTAAAATATAGTGTCAGTCAGAATTATTATAAGTAGGTCAAAGTTAATCGATTGATTCATGTTTCGCATGATTAAACAACTAAAAATTATAAGGCCGTATGTTATTTTTATTTAGATCAATAATCGCAATAATGAATTATCAAATAGTGATGCAACTATTTCAACAAAACCATCATTTGTTTTTGAAGATGTATCTGATGAAGATATTGATGGTGATCAAACACAAGATGAACTTGTACCTAGTCCATCAGAATATGATGAATATTCAGGTTTATCTGATGATCTTGATCTTGGTATACAAGATAATGATAATGAAGAAGAAGAAGAAGAAGAAATGAATGAAAGTGATAATGACGTAAGTTTTTCTTATCTTTGTATCAATTTTTATTAAATTATTTATGATTATTTAAGATAAACTTCGATGAAAATGGTCATGTCAATGGAGATAATAACGAAAGTGATGATGATGATTCATCATAGTTGTTTGTTATTCTGTTTTCTGTTTTTTTTTGTATTATCAACATGCTATTTCAAAAAAGAAAAAAACAAGCAAAGACACTCTTTCACACTAAAAAATAACATTCATTTATAACGAAATAATAAGCTACAAAATCTCGTTCATATAACTACAAATAGAAAAAAACAATTTCATTTATGACGATTTGTCATACTACGAACCTAAAATGAAACCAAAAAAAAAACGTAAAAATGCTTTCTTTTTTTTTTTAAGGTTGTTTTATACCACTGTGAGTAGTCCACTGGCAACTTGTGCTGTATCCGATAAAGATTGTGAAACCTATATTGTATTTGATATAAGATTTATTTTTATGAAACAAAATATTATTACCGAAGTTCGAATAGTATCCAGTGTTTCGAAATCACCTAAATGTCGTTCTATAAAATTCATTGTTTCTATTTTATTTGGTGATTTATCTTGAAGCATATAAATTTCTGCACTACGATATATCGTAGCAATTGAGATTCGTTTTGTATACCATTTCATCTATTTCATAAAGAGAAACAAAATGAATATAAATTGGGTTTGTTTTTTTATTACTTACATCAGTTGATGTATCACCAATACTAAGCCAAGCTTGATTGGCTAAATCTAATAAACTTTTCCATGCACGCTTAGCGTTTGGTGGTAAACCTTTTTGAGCTAATGCCTATTAACAAATGCGATTTTTAAAATATAGAATTCAATTCTACTGGTCTCTGTAGATCCTTGGCTACAAGAATCGATTTATTTCTATAATAAAAAATAAATATAATTCAATTTTACACATCCTAATTATAGACTATATAATGATGTAATATTACTAAAAACATCATGGAAGTAGATTTACGGAAAGTTTGAAAGAATATATACATGCGAAAAAATATGGAATAAGTTTTTCAAAATATAGATGGTAACAGATTTATGCAGAAAAGTAACCTCTTTGTTATCTATTAAGTACTCTCATCATTAAATCGAGAAAAAATGTCCCCGATATTTGCATTTATTAAAAATTATTTAATATTACCGTCTTCTTTTTTTTTCAACTTCTTCGTAACATTTTTTACACTTTTAATATCATGTGTAGATTCCTTTAACAAAGGAACATCGTTAATAAGCTTGCCGAATATCTATGAATAGATATATTTCTTTTTCTGACTGATACACTTAATACTCGTCATGCTATATATAAGTAAAAAGAAGAATATAAGAAATACGTCATATTGAGATAAAAAAAGTCAAGGTAAGACATGTCGTGTATGTATAAAATGAGTCATCACATTTATTTGTTAATAGTTGTTGCTGTTTTATAATAGGGTTAATTGTAACGGGTCATGGGGTTTTATATTATTATAGACATATACTCTATTGCATATAAAAAATATCGAAATTTCAAGCTAAATTTACGATCAAAAATATCGTAATTATGTTATATTGATTGTTATAAAATATATTCAAACCAACTGCTGTTATTTACAGATCATTAGTGTTAAAGTACTTTTCAAATAACTACTTTCATAATAATTGCTTCTGTGATATTTTTTCTTTAATTATGCTTTATTAGAACTTCTAGCAATCAAAAATTAATTAAAATGCATACTGAAATAATGATTTTAATATGCGAAAAAGGCTCAAAAATTATCATTTCCGGCGAACAGTATCTAGACATCATAAGATTTTTTGAAGTAAAAAAAAAAAACTCAAAAGTTGATGTTATGATTGAAACTATAATTCCGTTTGCTGCGTTTTTCATACGAAACAAAATAACAATGATGCAATTTACTTTATTTATAAGAAAAGAGCAAATCGAAAAAATAATCATACCTGTTCCCAAGTATCAGCATAAGGTATAACAAGTTTCAATCGATATTTCAATCCTTCAATAAGTAACCGAGTTCCTTCAATATGATCTCTATTAAAAAATATTGAAAAGAAAAACATCAACTATGATATTTTTCATCTTATTACTTATTAGTCAATTCATTCATATAAACTGCCATTTTAGCATTTGAAGTACGCATAAAATATTCGACAAGATCATAACCGTTATAAAATAAACCTTCTGTTGTATCAGGTTGATTACATTTCTTTATACCTGTATCAATAACAAATTGATATATATATATATATATAAAAGGACAAACCAGCACGAATTGCTTCAATTGTCCATCCTTTTTCGTGAACAAAGTTAAGAGATTCACGTAATATCTGATTGCGTATTGCAATTTCTTGTTGGATAAGTATTTCATTGGAATCACTAATAAAATTATATACATTTTTAAATTTTGTATATATTAAATATTTATTTATAAACTATGTTTAAATGTATAAAAATATTTTTTTTGTCTCTTTTTAATGTAACAAATGAAAACTAATGGAAAATTTTTTGAATTATTTATGGAAATAATAATACATTTTGTTTACCTTGTATTATTTTTTCCTTTTATATAGAAAAGATCTTCTCTTGGATGGTTTATTGTTTGTCCGAATGTATCTTGTCCACCGGATACTTTTGATTGATTTATTGTTTCATATTTTATTTTAGTATTTTGTGACGGTAATGATATAGAAGAATGAAGATCTGCAGCTATGGAAGATGATTTTGAATAAGTATTAGTGGAAGAAATTTTTGGTGCAAAACTAGCTTCTGTTGTTCTTGTTGATGATGTTAAAGGTGTATTTGGTGCAACTTGTTCAAATGCTGAAACAGCAGCTGCTTTAGCTAATTGTGCTGATGTAATATCTGATTGTGAAATGAATGTTTTAAATCGATCAGTAATATTTAATTCACCTTGTGTAGTATGAACTTTAGTTTCGTGAGAATTCTTACCATCTTTCGTAGATGTTGAAATCAATCCTGTTGAAGTATTAACATTGAGAGGAGAAACATGTATATCACGTGAAGGTTGTCTTGACCTATAAATTATTTTACAAATGATGAAATTATATATAATAGAAAATTTTTATTTTGAACATATATATCTTAGTTAACTCACCAAATATTATCATCATTTGTTATTGTTGTACTGTTCGTAGTAGGCTCTGATGATTGTTTATTTTTGTGATCATCTGATGTAGGTATTTGTTGTTGGACTATGGGTGTTTGATAAATATTTTTATGAACATTAGCTTCATTAATCGTTTTTGGACTACTTTTTCCAGTTGTTAAACATCGTTTATATATTAAATTATTTACATTATTAAAGGAATTTTCTTTTAGAAATAATAATTTATCACTAATAGGAATAACTCGAAATAGTCGAGATTTTCCACCTGAAAAAAAGCACATATGTAATTGAAAAGTTTTCTATTTTGTTTAAGACAAAGAAAAGAAAAAAATACAAACAGCAGATATATGTTAGTCGTTGCATCATTGATTCAGAAAAATATGTTCTACAGGTAAAAAAATAATAATAATATACGTTCCATACAGTTGATTAACATTTATGTCGCTATGATCAATGTAAATACAATGATGTAAATGTTTTTATATATATTTCTTCTAAAGAATTGAATATTGAATTTTTATAATTCTAAAAAAATATTTGAATATGTTTTTCATATATTTAACAGTGTTTTTATCGAATTGTTTTTTTATTGGTAGATAAAAATAACCACTCTAAGAGATAAAACAAAGTTTTGACATTTTTACTTATGTTCTTAGTTTATCTCTATTATTTACTTTATTTCAGGGTATCTGATAACATTTTTAGCGAAGAAAGATTTTTCATGGCATCAATGATAACAAAAGACGATGAATTACGTTCATTTGATGTACCTGAAATAGCACGTCATCCTCGTGGTTATACCATCTATAAAATTGTTTTACAAATTACACCAAAAGAATTAACTGAAAATAGTTATCAAGTTCGTTTGTATATCTTTTACATATTGATTTTTTTATTTTTATAAATTATGAGATTTTAATACAAATCTATAACTTAAAGTGCTTATTCAAATTAGGGTATTTTTCTTTTTGTGACTATTTCATAATCTAAAATACGATCTATCTATACTGAGTACATTGTGAACTGCAAAAATTACCTTATAATGTCAAATTTACACAATGAAAATAACGAACCATGTTTTTATCAAGCCGACTTTTCTTCAGAAAAAGTTCAGAAATACCCCTGAAAGTTCGACCGTTGCTTAAAAAAATATGCATTTTTTAAGGATACTTTAGATATTTTGGCTATCTTACTCACGGAGGAGCCATTGTGATGCCTGCGTCTCATAGAAAATAGCATAAAAAAAACGTTGAATCTATTACAACTATCACTCTACTAGTCAACACCTTACCCATATTAAGGCAAAATCTCCTCAAAGATCGATCTAGGATCAGGTGCAATCAAACGGTATGAAGTTTTTAGGAGATATTCAACAAACAGGGGTCAAAAAATAGTTCATTTGGTAACTAAAAATGCTTTGCTGACCTACATTCTATATACTTGATTTGTTTTTTTCTGTTTAAAAGAATATGCAAGGATTTAGATCATGACAAAGCTCTTTTTTTTTGTAAATTCTTACTTTTCAAGCGGAAAAATGTTCAATGTTTCGAAAAGCACTCTAGCTATAATAGTATTCTTTTCATAGAATAGTAGAAAAGCTTAATTAAAAAAAACGGAGCTTTGTCATACCCTACATTGTGATATGCTCTTTCAAACAAAAACAATTTGCAATTGGTTACAATGAAGTTCCTTCGAGTATTCTGGCATGTGCGATGAATATAAGCAAAGAAAAGATAAAAATAAAAAAAGAACATTTTTCGCTTTTTCTAAAAACAGCATACTTTTCCAAGCAGATAATGACGGAAATCATCAAAAATATTGGCAAAGAAAGAAACGTCGAATAAAAATATTAAGCATCGGATTAGCTTCTTATGCATTTATCTTAATTTTCATTTTGTTTTTGAAAGGTTGCGATGACCTTTACAAAGTTCTCCATGCAAAAGTATTTTCATCCTTTTCGGTACTGAAAGATACAAAAGATTCTTCTGATAACAAAATCAACTTAAAAAAAAATATACATTAAATATTATGAATTTGTTTCAAGGAATAAAAGAAAAAAACAGAAATTTTGATTTAAATAAAATATTATATTCATAATTAATGTTATCATCAGTTTTATTGAGTTGTTGACTAATCTTAATCCTCTTATTGATTCGTTTATGAATAGAAGAAAATAATGACAAAGTATTTTATTTCCGAATTTGTAACAAAAATTAGATATAGATAATTATTTGTAATTAAAATACATAACTTTTTATTAACAAATGTAATGAATAATGTTTTTCTTTTTTCTAGTTGGTCTATTGGAAACGTTATTCTGATATTCGAAAATTCTACGATACTCTTTATCGTTATCATCAAGCTATTTATCGTCCAGAGAAATTTCCAAATTTTCCAAATAAATCATCATATATGGGTATTTATATATGTTAGCATTTAAACTAAGGTTATGTCTAATGTCGAATCTTAGATTCGAAATGAGACGCGATAGATATGTCGGAAATTTAAGTTAAACCTTGTTATTATTTTCAGCTGTTTTTTATATTTCACCGAAGTCTATCTTATGCATACAGAGTCCGAATTCAAAATTGATTGACAAGTTGAAAACATTTCTTCGTTAAATTAGATGTAATCTTAGTTTGAACGCTAACATAATTAAAGAAAGTATTATGCATTTATCTATCAATTTTTTAGAACGTTTTAATCCAATTATTATTGAAGAGCGACGTTTAGCTACGAAAGAATTTCTTAATTTTGCTGTAAAATATTTATATTTACGTACACATGATGCTTACATAAATTTTTTTCAGGTAATAATAATTAGTGATGTATGTTTTTTTTTATTAATTATCAATAATGATATAGTTTAGAATGGTGAAAAAGTTGTATTACCTGATGTTGAAACAGATACATTAAAACCGGAATCAATCATAACACAACAACCACAAGTATCAATTCCAATTTTACCAACACCTATGCCATCGATTTCAATAAATAAAACTACCGATGAACTTTTATTAAATGTTGATGAAGATGAACATGTGAATAGTCCATCTACGAAAATACTTGATGAACTTAATGATCTTCACTTTGAACATAATGATGAAAATAAAGATGATTTGAATATAATTCAAATTGAACCATCAGGTACGAGAATATGTTATAAATTATTAATTTAAAATTTATTTCGTTTAGATTTCATACCATTACCATCAAATACAAATAATAATGATTCTTCTTCATAAGAACTTGATTATTTTGTTTTGTTTATTATATAAAGAAAATTGATTTATATTATTAATATATTCAGTAGTTTTACTTATAACTTTTTCAATTGGTTAAACTATCTCTGTTCATCTAAGGATACTTATAATAAGACTGATTCATTACAAGTCATATTACTAATAAGATTTACTGAAGTTTTCGAACTTTTTTAGACGGATCTACTCTTCTTTATTTATAGTATAAATATTCTATAAACAATTTATCTAACGATGGAAAATCTTTCTACTGATAAAGTATTTTCGAGTCGAAACTACGTGCTTTACTTGCAGTTGATACGCAACTATAAGTTTAGAATCCGATCTCTTGTCAGAATATTCATAAATCATTTGAGTCTACATCATGCACATAGTATCGATTTATTAGTTATGAGAGTTCTTCGTCAGACTATTCTCTTAAATTTTCTATTTGATAATGAATTAGCAACACATATGTTAGACAATTACTACTTTAATAATGATTTCTGTACAGGAGATAGAGACATGTAACTCGAGTAATCGTGTCAAACGTGCCTTCTTCCTGGAGCTTGACAATGTTATGACTCACGAGAAAGAATATTATCCTCCAAAACTTCTCAATGGTAGGAAAATATCGTATATTTGACATTGTTGAATAATAATAATAATGCTTTGAAAAATACATTATCGTTTAGCTATTAACTTTAAAACATTAGACAAATTTTACAGACATATATTTTTTATATCATATGTAAATCTAACGAAATATCAATATCAAATAACATATATAAATCTTTTTTTTTATCATTAACTGGGGTCATCTACCGGTTGAAAAACAAAAACTATAATGGTCATAGAAAATAAGAAGACTGGTTGTTGAAAGAATCCAATATAAAAACCATCAGTCATTTCTACTTGATGAATAGTGATGCAGCAAAATTTAAAATCTTACTTACGACGACTTAAATCAATGACACTGCGTCCCGAAATTCATTTTGCATCTGTTTTCGAACATTGTTCATTAAATAATAATTTTCAATGTTTTCAAGGAAATCCATTAAATCGTCTTAATCTTCATCGAAAATCACTTCAAGATATAGTTCAACATTCACAGTCAAGATTTTTACCATTTCGTCAACTTAAAGTACTTTTTAATCAAGAAAAAAAACAACCTGTTTGGCTTACACATCAATTTTTATTTGAAAATACTAATGAAAAAAAATTAACAATTGATCAATGTGAACTTGTTTTACTTGGCATTGGTTCTCGATTACTTGCTGATCGATCAGCATTAGTCCCAACTACTGAACCAACAAAAATCGATGGTAAACTTCTTAGTAAATTTTTATTAGCTTCTGAACCAACCCCAGATGAATACATCTATTTTGCCTTATCGATTCCAACAAATTTAGCCGATAATTTACCTGGTACTTATATGGATCTTCGACCCCTATTACCTCAATTATCTGTAATTGATGCAGCTGTATGCGGCCAAGGACGTTCTTTACTTGATTGGCATGTATCTAATCAATATTGTGGTAAATGTGGTTCATCGACTATTTCACTTGAAGGTGGTACACGTCGTAAATGTACTAAATGTAATCATATAATTTATCCTCGAACAGATCCTGTTATGATAACATTAGTTATTCATGCTGATAAAGAACGTGTTTTACTTGGACGTAAATCTTCATTTCCTCCATTTGTATATACATGTTTAGCCGGTTTTATTGAACCAGGTGAATCTATACCTGAAGCATGTTCACGTGAAGTTTGGGAAGAAAGTGGAATTGTTGTTGATACAAATGAAACACATTATTTCGATTCTCAACCATGGCCATTTTTAGGTGGACAATTAATGATTGGATGCTATACATATGCTATTGATGAAACAATAACATTACACGATTCAGAATTAGAAGATTGTCGATGGTTTTCTCGAAATGAAATTGCTGATATGATACAACGAGGTCGAAATATGAATCTTGATAAGAATGATCAAGGTCTTCGTATTCCACCACCTATTGCTATAGCACATCAAATGATTAATAATTGGTATTCAAAAACAAACGAATACTCTTAAGGCGTAATGGAATATTCATAAGAAAAAATGAACTGCAGAACGAAATAGGGAGCTTATTCAAAATCTATCAACATTTCTCTAAAAAATATATAGATGGTGGTTATAAATAAAGTACAACAAAAACGCTTAATTATGTGTCTATATAAAATTCATTTCTGAGCTAATTCTAGTACCATTTCGTCTGAAAATAATGTTAAAAGTTTTTTTTTGTACTTTAATGTCTTCTGAGAATTCTAAATAAAATATTATTGGATGATGAAATATAAGGTTGAACATAGAAAAATGGCAATAAACCTCTTACAACAGTATCAGTTTAAGCTCATATGTGTCAGACAAAAATATCCATCTTTTTTCCTTTTTTTCGGCGCAACAAAATTAAGATGGAAAGATAGAAATATAATCATAATATTGTCCATTACAAATCATCTAGATCTGATAAGTAGAGTAATACTCAAATGCAAATTGAGGAACTCTTGTAAAAGGATTATGTACTGCATATAGGTCTGCCAAAAGACGATCTCCGTTGCAAGTCGTCATTGGAGATCCCTTACAACCACAACTTCGAAAGCACTCATAAACAACGAGAATTGAATGTTTTTCTAAAACGGTTTTGGGTGTGGGTATGGGGTGGGCTGGATATGGATGCAGTTACAGAAAAGACTAGCACCTCATGTCCTCAGAATATTCGTTGATTATTTTTTGGGTGTGAGATTAATTGTACAAAATATTGATTTGAATATAAATCAAAATAATTCTATTCAATTTTTGTTTCAAAATTCACCTGTATTGATGTAAAGTTAGTAGAATTGATTGAGTTGAACTTGAAATCCTTGATGTTGAAAATTACGGAGAGGGAACCTAAGGGAAGGTGCTTGGCAATAACTATGGAGATACTCTCACACTTGCCGAACAGGTAAAGTCCAAGTGGAAAATACTTGGGATCGGTCTAAATCGGCTTTGCTAGCTTCAAACCAATGCTGTAAAAAAATTCATTTTAAGTTTTCAAATAATATTTTCCTTTAGATCGAACTTTTTTTAACTGAGTATTAAATATATTCCAAATTAAGTCTTTTGTTTTATGAGATAATCGTGCAATGGTTCGATAATTGTATTTTTCTCTATAGCATTACGAAATGAATATTTATGTATGTGCAAATTCGAAATATCTATTTGAATAAAATTTTGAGTTCCAGTTCTCGCTGATTTGAATATTGTATAGTAAAATGAGAAAAAATATTTTTATATATTTTTCCATGGTTTTATATTTCAATAAATTGATAAGATTGTTCTATTTTTACCTATATTCATTCTCTTTTGCAAAATTTTGTTGATTTTTTATAATTTTTCTTTCTATTCTGAGAATTATTGCAATTGTAACGTTTCTCTAGCTCAGCTCTTTCTATCGAACAATTCGATAAACAAAGTGCGTATATCGATATTTGTTTTTTGTTTTGGCTAATGTATACAGAATTTAACCGCTCGGACATTAATGCTAAGTGAGCGTTTCACAACATTCAACTTAGTTAAAATATCGCATGATGAATCGAACGAGTAATACGTGTCTTTCCACAAAAATATATTAATTGTTTTTCGAACAGGGTGTGGGTGTGGATGAAAAGAAGACGTTCACACGCACACTCCACATCCTTTTATACAAAATTGACATCACTCTATAAAATGCAACAATTAGTGTTCTCTTATTATTAAATTCATTTTCATCGACTTTTTTTAGTTCAGTGGTACTATGGCCATCCTTTTCACTCACCCACGTGGGAAAATCTTACAAACAATCGGATGTGGTAAGATTCATACAATATGATTTGAAAAAATCGTAAAAAATCTTACTGTAAGATTTCACATGTTTCTTACTATAAGTTGCTAGCATGAGTCTTATATGACTCCTACTACATGATTCTGACAAAGTCTGATGATCAGAATCTTGTAAGATCTTATATGATCTTATAGAATTATAATTAAAGGTTTTGTCTTATGCAAATAGCTTTTACTACGATAATTATATACATTTAAATAATTTTTTAAAGCAATTAAGAGATGAATCGTGAGAGGATAGAGTATCATGCCATAGGCATCTAGCATGGTGAAAATTTAGATTTATCTCATTCTATGCTCAATCAATAGAACGTATCAAGAAACCTCGAAATCTTATGATTCATCATTTTTTTGATTTTTTTCTTGTCGAGTTAGATCATATCGAAGTTGACTTGAACAGAAGAATTATGGTTTTGATTTTTGAAACCTTAGTTGACCATTTCAAGATGTATGATTCAGAATGATGTTTCATTCGAAAGGTAATTGCATTGTGGACGATGTATGATATCTGCCAAGACTAAAAATAACTCCTTTCGCGGCCAAAGAGGAGGCTTCAGGGGCCGAACTAACTCGAAATTATAGTTTTTGAACTTTTTCAACATAGTCCCGAGTGTGGGTGTGGATGTAACTATTGTATTCGTCCACAACCACACCCTTTCAAGGGCAATTTATATATTTCTCTACTATCGTTA